GTACTTGCCAAAACCCATGATTGGCATCAAGCACTGAGAATAGTTTGGCATTTGGCATCTCAGCTACTACCGTCCTTCGGATGAGACGTTAAACCGAGGTCCTGACTCTCTGTGGTCATTAAAAATCCCAGGATGTCTTTCGAAAAGAGTAGAGGTGTGACCTCGGCATCCTGGCCAAATTTGCCCATTGGCCTCTGATCATCATGGCCTCCTAACAATCCCCATATCTGCTGATTGGCTTCATCACTCTGTCTCCTCTCCACCAATAAGCTGGTGTGTGGTGGGCGTTCTGGTGCACTATGGCTGCCGTCACATCATCCAGGTGGATGCTGCACACTGGTGGTGGATGAGGAGATACCCCCTGATAATGTAAAGCGCTTTGAGTGCCTAGAAAAGCGCTATATAAATGTAAATGTAGTGTAATGTAAAATGTAATGAACTATTTCTTCGACTGTGCGCAATGGGTAGTGTTCTCTATTTATGGCTTTGTTGAGATCTTGTGGATCGATGCAGATCCTGAGTTTCTCTGGCTTCACTTCCGTTACCATACTATTAACCCAATCAGTGGGCTCGGTTTGCTTCACGATAACTCCAAGATCTTCCATTCGTTTCAGTTCCATTTTGACCCTGTCCTTTAGTGCTGTGGGTACTTTCTGTGGTGCGTGAATGACTGGAGCAACATCTGGGTTGAGCTGTATATGGTGCAGTCCTAGTACACATCCTAAACCAGTAAACACATCTTAGTATTCACTCAGAATGTCAGTTTGGTCATTCTATTTTAACTCTTTTAATCAGTCCGAGTTTTGAGCATGCTTCTCTTCCTAGGATAGCTGGTGAGTCCTCATCTACAATTTGGAATTCTAGCTCAAACTCGTGTTTGTAACCACATTTGAGCCTTGCCTTACCATTTGGCTCCATCGTGTGGCCAGAATATGTAACTAACAAGCAGTTTGACTTCTTCAGTGGTATAGTTTTGTTAGAGGTATTCTCAAAGTCTTTATAGGACAACACATTGCACTCTGCTCCTGTGTCTAGCTTAAACGTAAGTATGCAGTTGTTTATTCTGAATTCTTGAGTCCATTTCTTGTTTTCACTTCCCATGGTAGAGACTGTATCCATCTGTGTCAGCCATTTGCTAGCTGTTAGCTCACTTCGTTCAACTTCGATGGTACCTATAGACAGAACAAGAAAATGCTGAATTATCTCATGAACTTTTTTCTCCAATTTTCTTGGTTTGCCTTTTTGTTTTGGTGTTTTGCACATGCAGCTAAAATGGTTCTTCCGCGAGCACTCATTACAAATTTTGCCATATGCCGGACACTTCCTTGGCTCATGTACATAACCACATCTCGTGAATTCTTCCTTCTCTTTCCCTGTGTGCTTGAAATTCGCCTGTCTGACAGTTGACTTGGTTTTCATAATTTTGTTCACAGCCACTTCTGCTTCTTCATGCTGCACTTTCATATGGCTTTGTGTTACTTTGTTGGCACGGCAGATATCCACAGCCTTTGCTAGGTTCAAATCCATTTCCCTGAGAAGCCTAGCTCTCACAGTGTCATTGTTAACACCACAGACAATGCGATCTTTAATCAAGTCATCAGTTAATCGTCCAGATTCACAGTATTTCGCCTTATTTTTCAAGTCAGTCACGTATGCATCAATGGTTTCGTTCGGTCCCTGTGCTCTCGTGAAAAACATATGCCTCAGATCCGTAATATTCTTTCTTGGCTCACAGTAGGCCTACTCTCTAAACTTTTCTTTGAGCACTTCAAAATCATCCGCATCATCATCAAAGTCCATGGTATTAAATACCTTTATTGCATCATCTCCAGCCACGTGAAGAAATGTTGTGCACTTTACTTTGTCACTCTTCTCTGCAATGCCAGTTGCAATGAGATACAGGTCAAACTTTTGAATCCACGTTCGCCAGTTTTCCGCCAGATTTCCTTCGAAACACAAACTGTTAGGAGGCTTCAACTGCTCCATGGTTTTCTTCTGACACCATGTGATGTTTGTTGAACGTGTATTTTAATAATTCACAGAGACACCAGATTAATGTGACTGTCTGTTTTACTGAACATTCTTATTCTCTTCAGTGTTGCCAACTATTTTTCAGGGGAAGTTGCTAAAGGCAGATTGATTTGTTGCTAAAAGTTGCTAAATGATGTTGTGATGTCATTGCGTGATGATGTCATTGCATAACCATGACACAAAACAACGTTTTTACGTAGAATACACAACGAGATTACTCAAATATCAGCGAAAAATATATTTTTTTAAATGTTATTTCTTCATAAAAATATTGTAAACAAAATATTTTAATTTGTAAAATTAACATAAGTAGCATATCTTTATGATCTGATTTTTTACAACATTGAATTATTGAACAGTTACACATTTTATGTATTTTCTTATTAACTAGTAAAACTGCACATTCTGAACAATTATAGTTTTAAGCAGTGTACTGG